GAAGCATGCCCCAAAATGTCTCGAGGCAGCTTCTACAGTTCCTTCTGGTGACCGCACCACCTTATCAGAGCCCACTCTAATACCTTCAGAGTTTCTCTTTACTTATTTTGCCCTCACGGACCTGAAGAGCTGGCCTGACACATCCTCTGATTGCTCCATTACACGGTCACCCAAACGAAACAAAAAGTCTAGTGCCCTCCTTACGTGTATCTCCTTCAGTTGAACCCTCATCTCTTGAGCTCTTTAAACATCAAAAACCAGACCACAATTCCCTTGCTCATAAATCTTTTGTAGTTCCTTCTGTAATCGCCACACCTCCATGTTCTTTCTACGTGCTCTCAGCGTGCAATATTGCTGAGAGATCCTTTTAAGCCTTCGTTTCACACCATTCAATTAAAGCTGGCCAGCTGCTTTTCTGGGCTACCCATAATTGCAGTTTGTCTCTGATCAGCTGGATGTAATCGTGTTCCTGCAGAACATCTGTATTTAATTTCCGAGAACCATGTCGGAGTCACTGTGACACTTTGGATTGAAATGATTGAGGATACAAACATATAATCCAATCTTTTCCCCACTCCCCTAGTATTTTGCCATGTGACCGGAAAGTTTGAGAAGAAGCCTTTAAAACTATCTTTTAGTGCAAAGTCACGCAACAGCTGATTAATCTTGGTTGCCCCTGTTGTCCATGCCAAAATGTCTTCGTTAAAATCCCCCCCATAAAAGACCCACCTGTTTGTAGTGCACCCAGGTGCTAGGTCAGCAAAGCAACCCCTCCGTGCACTGCGCTGTGCTGATGTGTACACACATATCAAACGGACTTTGGTGCCCGCCCACAATCCATCCACCACAATCACCCTTCCTGGACTTACCACAAAATACTCTGTTTCCTCCACCTCCATGCTCCCAAACACAATTTCAACCCCTGCTGAATGCACTCCCCCCACACTCCACCGTGACTTCAGACTACCCCAATTCTTCACGAACCTGTGGATATTATATTACCCAGCTAAATGAACTTCTTGTAGGAAACACACATCAAACCTGTGCTTCCTCAAAGTTTCAAAAACTGCAGTCCTCTTTATTCTGTCTTTCATTCCTCTTGCATTGACCGTACAGATACGGAGACTTATGGTGGTTCCAGCCCTGTCTCTTTCTCCATGCCATCTGACTGGTCAGAGCCGGAATCCTCTGAAATATCCGTCACAGGTGAGTACCATCCCACATAAAGGTGGCGCGAACTGTCTTCCCTGGACGTTGTGTCGATGTCCAGGGCAATTGACTGGAACCTCAGGTAAGTTTTCTCCCTCCTCCTGGCCGAAGCTGGAGATTCCTCCTCAACAGGGTCACCTGATTCTTCTGCTTCGACCTCCATTCCTGGTATTTTTTGATCCTCGTCCTGGCCCTCTTCCACTGGTTCCTCCCTCACCTTCGTCTCCTCTTTCGCACTGGAATCACCCTCATCCTCTTTCCTTCGTCTTTTAGCTATCACTTTCCCAGGTTCCTGCTCGCTTTCTGCCGTTTCCAGCACTGTAATGTTTTCGTCGTCCATATCGTGACCAGCTGGACCGTGTCCTGCTTCCTACTGAAGCTCGACCTCTTGTGCTCCCTCATTAACTGGAGCCACACCCACTTCCTGCCTAGCCTCCTCCTCCTCCTCCTCTCCGTCCAAGTGTGCCTTGGTCATATTCCCGTGCCATTTGTATGTTTCTCCACTTGCAGCCCTTGAACAAGTGTCCTTCCACGCCACAAAGTGCACACCTTCTTTCGACATTCCCTCGCAACATGCCCGGTCTCATCACATATCGTACACACATTCTCCCTACACTCGGCCACATGGTGTCCAAAGTTACAACAACTCCTACAGAACTGGGGCTGATTTTGATCAAATAAAAGCCCCTGCTGGAACCGTGTATCAGATCGAAGTAGCACTCTGTACTTTCTTTTCCCAGGCCAGATTTTACAGCTATCCATAATTTTCTCTGGCTGACCCATGACTAAGACATGTAGTAAGAGGAAAGCCGTTACATCATCATCCCCAATAAAGGGGTCATATAAATGCACTATCACCACAGGAAAATTGTCGTTGTAGCAACCCAACACCTTATAGTCTCTCAAACAATTCTCTTTTTTCTTGTCTGTAACTAACAGACGCCCACTTATACATCTCTTCATTTCTCAAAGAAACATCAATATACTTCAAGGGTCTATTCCCTTGCACACACCACACATCACTGGACGTAAGGCCCAAAACCTCAAACAAAACAATATTCGAACTCACGCCGTCCCGGTGGTTCTCCCTCATGCATCCAGCAGAACCAAAAAGTCCATTTCAGCCTGGGAGCCTCCCCAGGCCGATCATAGGAGTCAACCCCTTCCGCCATCCTGGAGGAGGCCTCCAGGCCGGCTCTCCGAGGGGTCCACCCCAATCCAAACGCAAGAAGACCCCAAAGTCCAAAAGATCCAAGACAAAGAGCACTCCACAGGCAAAAACCCAACTGCAATTCCTTTCTTCTGGCCTACACACAAGAGAATTCTGCAGGAAGCTTCTGAATAGGGAGCATAAATTGGCGTGAGGGAACATTAAATACTAAGGGGAAAGGGACGTGGTTGGATAATTGGCCTGGGAGTGAGAATTTATGGAACCTAGTGCATGTGCGAATGTGAATGGTTTAATTAGGAATGAGATTGTGAAACAGTGGGTTTGGGAATGTAATGGCCTTTGCGAGGGAGAGTGTGGGGTGTGACATTTAGTATGTCCTCTTTTTGAGACCTAAAATATCAGTCTGACTGGGATTTATGAAATTCCAAAAATTGTTTTGCTTGTTACTCAGGCCATGTAAACAAACATAGGTCTACATATTTTTATTCGTTCCATGGATTAGCAGTAGATGTTTTGAACTTACACGCAGCGTAGCTTGAAAAGGGTTTTTTTTTTGTGTGTGGCTGTTTTTAAGGCCATGAGAAATAGCAATATTTAATTTGTTTCATTATATTTCAAAATGTTTCGTTAAAATTTATCATTTTTGCAACCAATGAGGACTTCTCCTAAGTTATGATGTCTTCATTTTTTCCTCAGATGTTAAGACTTCTGTTGTGTTAAAATGAAAAAAAAACTTTACATTTAAA